GGAGTTCATAATCTGGTGTGGGAGATACTATTATGAAAGAATTCTAAGGGGACAGTGTGTGAGTGGAGAGTCTGACAAGTGTCAGGCTAAGGGAAGACTGGACTGATGAAGTAACACTTGAGATATCACAAAAGTAATAACTTAAAAGAGCATTAGTCTATTTCTTTCAGCTACCAAAGGACCGAGGGCTCATGGGTAGCAAAAAAGAAAAGGACTTAAAGCATTTACAGCATCCTTAAATTAAGTGGTCTTAAGGAATTGATTTAATCCCTGCTTGATAAGATTCCATCTCCTCACACAGTTGTGAGAACTGTAAGAAAATGTATGCAAAAGTACCTAGAGCACAGTGCTCAACCAAGAGTAGGTATTCAAAAAATGTTCATTTAATTCCTCACTTTCTTCACCCTTCAAAATCAGACTAAGAGAGAAATATTTATTGTCACAAAAATAAATTATTTTTCCCAGTTTTCCTAATCAAGTGCCAGGGATCTGGTAAAAGTCTTTGGCAGCTAAAAATTTGGCCTATTCTCATATAATCCTGGAATAAGAACTTAAAAAACTAATTTATGAGGGAGGTTTTTGAGAATACTTTTTAATCTTCTCAGAGTGCTTCCAACATCTATCAATTTTGCTGCCCAAAAAAAGGAAGGTATAAATATTTTTTTAAAAAACCTAGAGAAAAATGAATAAAGCAGAAAATCTAAGTTTTAAAAAATATCATATTGAATTATATAATATAGTTCTATATAATATAGAACTATAGAAGTGGATAGTGTTTCCTTCTCCTAAAGCCCATGAGTAGGATAAATTAAACCTCATATAACAGGACCTCTGGAGGAGAAAGAATGGAAAATTAAATGGCATCTAAACTTCACACAAAGGCAAACTGATAAAGGACAATTGGGGGGACACTTCCTATCCAGTAAATGCAACAATTTCTAAAAAGGCATTTTTTAATTGTAATAAAAAATAAAATGTAGATTGGTTTCTGAAGAAGAGAGAAATTAGGCTAAGACAATAGTTTATAGATTGATACAATTTAATAAGGTTTTAATTCTGTGCTCACTTACTATGTTTATATTCTAATAAATGCACTTTTCTATATTTATCTGTCTAAATTCAGAGCCTGAATGTATTTGCTTATTAATTGAGTAAATATATTTAGATTTAATAATTTTAAAACATGTCAAATTACAAACTGTAAGATTTGGCAGACCATCAATTCACAACCATAACTATCTTACTTCATCTTTACATAAGTACTTGAATTATTTTTAATAGCTCTTTGGAACTTCAAAAACTATATCTAAATATCTTCTATAATTTTTACAATGAATTAAAGTTATACTAGATAATAACTTACTCCATTGTGTTCTTCCATTTTTGCAAAGCAGCTGTTCTCCACGATTGTTTCAAAATAGCTATCCATAATTTCATAAGTTATCCCCATTCTTTGACCCTTTGACTAACTGATTTGCACACAGTCCAACAGGTAATATTGTGGAGTAATATTATAAAATAATATTATAAGAAAAAAGCTTTAGGAGAGTTCAGTAGTTGCTATCAGCTAGAAATAGAAGTAAATGTTACATTTTTAAAGTAATCTTAAACTCTAACACCAATATTGACTAGCAGTGTAAAATTGGTGGTTCAATATAAAGCATCCTGTATTAAGAGCTGAGATCTGAGTTCTGGCTTAGCTGAGATGTTGGCTATCCCTATGACCTTGTATAAGTTGTTTAGGTTTTCTGACACTCAGCACACAATATTTAATGAAAATCATTAATTAAAATCTCTCTATTTCATGAAGCTATAGCTCTCCTGATTCAATTATGAATAGTGAATTCAATAGTGATTGTGTCTAAAGCATAAAATGAAAATAACCAGTTTCAAGAGGCATAACTTAACTAGCAAAATTTCCAAACCTGGGTTCTAGCTGGAACTATTTCAATTCGGCAACTATTTATTGAGTGTGCCTGTGTCTATGTGAGTGGGAGGATATCACAGGCAGAGAAGAACATGAGGCAGTTGTGGGGTTAGGGAAAACTTTGCACACACCAACCACAGAAAATATTGGTATAGCTGCACCGAAAGTGTGTGCGGAAGGCAGGGCAGAGGACACTGGCAGTAATTGTGGTGAGAAACACCAGAGGTAACTAGCAGCGGAATTACACAGGCCTTGTAGGCCATATCAGTAAATTGAGACCTTATCCCCAAGAACAATGAGGAATCATTAGTGTTTAAGCAGTGGTGTGGCATAATTTGATTTCCAATTTTGAAAACTCATTCAGGGCACGGTGCACAGAATAGATAGCAAGGGGTTAGACTGGAGACGGGGGTGGGGGACACACCAGTTCGACAGTTTGAGATGGCACAGGCCTGAAGTATACAGAAGGCAGTACAACACTAAGTAAGATCAGACTTCTGAAGTCGTTTGCCTGCATTCAAATCCCAGAATTTCTACTTACCAAGTTGCTTACTCTCTCTATGCCTCAGTTTTCTCCTCTATAATCCCCAGATAAAAATCCTCACAGGGTTGCTGCCAAACAACAAATAATACACATACAATAGATAGCATGTTGCCTGGCACAGAGTAAGAATGCAAACGTTTATTGTCATTATTACTGTAATGTTAATGGGGGGGAAGAAAGGAGACGATAACTGGAAGATAAAGAGGAGACAGAAATTGACAATTAAGATACAAGAAAAAGGGGAAAGGGATGAGTGGACACACTAAGTTTCTGGCTTGAATAATGGCGCTATTTGATGAGATGAGACAAACACAACTGGTTTGAAAGTTTTGATGGCTTCAAGGAAAAAATGCTCATTTTTTTAATATATTGATTATGAGAGACGTTCTAGCACGCAGGTGAATATATTGTTCTGAAGTAAAGGAAACAGATCAAGGTTGGAGCTGTAAGAATTGGAGACATGATAATTAAATCCATGGAGGTTTGATGAGAGCCTGGAGGGAAGGGATGTGTAGAAATGCTGACACTAGGGAAGCTATGAACAGCAACATTTAAAGGATGGAGGGGAAGAGAAGCCTGCAAAGGACACTGACAGAAATGGGGGCCAGGGAAGTAAGAGAACAATAGTGTGAGAACTCAAAATCCAAAAGAAAAAAAAAGGTATTTCTAACAGAAGGGAGTGCTCAACAATGTCAATACTGCCAAACAGTGAAGGAAGGTAAGGACTGAAGGTTTTCACTGGTTTAGCAACAAATTATTCCTTCACATAATAAATACGTGTCAAGCACTGTGCTAGACCCTGGAGACACAATGGTACGTAAGACAAGTAAGAGCCTTGCACACACAGACTTGATGTTGTGAATATACACAGTAAACTAGTAAACAAATAAAATACTTATTGTATTTAAAATAGCAGAGATAAAGTGACATGATAGCGAATAAAGGGCAGGAGCCAGTTTAGATAGTGAGTTTGGGAGGGCATCTCTCTGAGAAGGAAAGATTTAAACTAAGACCTGAAACAGGAAGGGGCTTGGCATGGGCAGAGAACTGAAAGAGGCCCATGAGGCTCCAGCATAACAGTGGAGGAGTGATGGAGAGAGAAGCCAGACCCTGTCTGTAGACTATGCTGAGGGCATAGTGAAAAAAGTTGAGATGAGGACCTGTTAAGCCATGTGAGTAGGGAAGTTAAGATCATTCTAGCTAACAGCACTTAGTAGTTTGCTTTTCCTCATTTATACGAATCAGAAATAGGATATTGTACCACTCCTTCAACCATTAACTGTTTATTACAATATCAGAATAAACTTTTCTATTTTAAAAGGCACCATACGATGACAGCATGTTACCTGTTACATTGATTTTACTAATCCTCTTTTTAGCCTTCTTCCATATTTCTTTCAGAGAAAGTCCTCATAATCTCTGCTTGATTCCATAATTAAATTGTATTTCTCTGAGGTCTTTTCAAGCAATGTACATCAGAATTTGAATGTTTTATAACAAGAAGATTCAGCAAGGTGCTACTAAAACCTGACGGAGTTCATCAAGAAATAACGATGATGTTCTACAGCGCTTACATTCCAGTTTCAGGTTCCTATTTCCTTGATCTATATATTTATATACATGTATACAATAGATAAAAGTTGATGTAAAAAAAATGGGCTTGATTCCGAGCAGCTGAATTATATGTTCATATTATTTTTTCATTTCCTTATCCGCGAGAGGAAGAATTTATGGCCCTTTCAGATTTCATAAGGATATCAACAAACGTAATGCTACCATTTACTTAAAATCTATTAATTATCAGGCAGTGAGCTAGGAACATTACAGAAATTATTTTGAATTATCCCCATACCCCAAAGGGTAGGTATTGTTCTTCCCATTTTACAGATGAAAAAGTCTTAGAGCGATCACTTGCCCAAGACTGCAGAGCCAGAATTTAAACCCAGTTCTGCAATCTCAAAAACTCTAGTCACTATACCATGATGCTTAAGACTATTAATAAATTGGGTTCCTTAAAAAATACCTATCAGATATAAGGTATTAAATCATAAAGATAAATTTTAAATAACAAATATTTTATTAAAATTTTAATAAACGTTATACAACTTAGAAATATTTGCCATATACACCATTCCTATTTATTCATCCTTTTGGCATAACTTGATTTCAAATATTTTTTTAATAATGGAGAAGAGAGATAAAAGGAAGAGAGAAAAGATAACCAGACTGTATTTAAGGTCCAAGAATTACCATTCTAGGTTAAATTTTTTTCCCAGTTAATCCTTAATACACATATTAAATCCAATGAACCACCAGTAACCAACTGCCTATTCTCACAAAACTTATATGTCTTCAAAGTTAAATTACAAATGGCCTATGGTTTTCCTGAATCAGAAAAACCAAATCTCTTATTGGAACCTCTAAATGTCACTACTCCTCTGAATTCAAAAGGTAACAAGTCTCAATAAAAACAGCATAATTTGCTCTCAGCAGTACCTACAGATTTATTGTATTGTGAGTTCTTTCTACTAAGATTTTTTAGGTAGCCAAGTCATCTACCAAGACTTTGTCTGAAGAAGTCTAGATATTAAACAAAAAGAAACTGCTGTCAGATCATCTTTATTTTCCTTAACAAAATACACAGAAGAGCACAAAATTCACTTATAATATCATCATTATTTTACAAATATAAATAATGCTCAGAATTCAAGTACAGTCAAGTGCAGAAATATTTCCTATATGTTAATATGTAAACATAAGCTAATTATATACATCATGTGCCTTTGGCCCAGCTGCAAAATAAGAGACATCAAAAAGAAACACTGCACTTGACTGTTCAATTGCATTCTTACTGAGAATTCGTACCAATGCCTATATAGTTACAGTTAAAACTTTCATACCACTTAATGTAAATGCCTAAATAGACATTTTGCCCCATGGCAAATATCTCAAGAGTAAAAATTCTATCCATTTTTAATGATGAAATATTAAAATCTTAATTGAGTTTCATTCCTTAAAATAAACACTATTAGAATTTATTCCTAACCAAAGTGCTTCCTATGTCAAAATGGATATTTAAAGGTCACATATATAGACAACAGGAATTCTATCATGTTTGTTTACTTTTAGAATGGAAAATAAATTTCTAAAACCTGTCTAAAAAGTGTGGGTCTTTGTATTGGGTTGTCAGAAAAGTCGTGATGTATTTTTTCTATGTTTTTCGTTGCAAAAATGCATCATGACTTTTCCAACAACCCAATATATTCAAAGGGATCTTACTTTACTGATATCACTTGCTTTTAGTTTTAATATCCAGTAGGTATATAACTTTGACATACTGAAATAGCTAGGCAATCTGAATTCAAATGATATCAAGCGTACCCTTAGAGAAAAAAAAAACAGAAAGCACCACCAAAAAAGCAGTAACTGACATCAACAAGACTACAACCATTCAGTTGAAGGCACATGGAAACATTTACTACATTGTCATCAAAGATTCTCCACCGAGTTCAGGATTAGGAGTAGAATCAGCCCTGGGAACTTCTGGTTTGGCTTCATTCATTGAGGTTTCCTCACTCTCGGTCTCTTGTTGTTTCTCCTGTGGTTCCTCCGTGCCAGATGCTTTTTCAATCACTTGGTTTGTCTGCTCTGTATCTGATATTTTGTCCTCTGTCTGCTCTGTACTGCTATCAAGAACATCTTGTTCTTCTAAAGATTCTGAAAAGATAGAGTCAAGACTTTAGTGATATCCAACTGTTACAATTGCTAAATAAGATAAGTAATAGATACACACACACATACATGAGCTAGAAAACAGTAGAATGATCTGACATTATCTTTAAAATCTTTTAAAATATGTATTGAACTCCTTACAGCATACCTATATAAATTGGTATGAATGATGAGGAAGAAAATTGGAGGGAAACAAACTCATAAATATACTTTTATCTAAAGCCTCATATTTTCATAAAATTTACAAACTTTCATCATAATATTTAGAATTTTCCTAAAGATGCATTTGAATGTTGAAGGTCCAAATATATCAAAGCCCCAATAGAATTATGTGCTATAAGACAATAGCCTGGCAAACAAAGCAAATGTATTAACTCCCACGTTATGTTTCCTGAAGGAGAAGTCTCCCTTGTGCCCAGCCAACCCTGTGAGCAATGTGGAAATGTGTACCTATGCGTGTGTGCACTCACGCACATGTGTGCAGACATGCTATTTCCCACACTAATGTACATCTCTACTAGCCAGGTATGGAGAGGTCTGGATCCACCTTTTCCAAAGGCATGACAAGTCTCCCTTGATCCTTCTTCAATACAAAGCCTCAGGGTTTACACCTCGGGGTTGGAATACACTACACCTAGACTGCAAGGAAGGGCCTTTTGTCCCTGTCTCTGTAACATAAACTAAGTAAATGTCTTGGACCCTACCTGAAAATTTACTCCCTCTAAACTCTCTTTTGAGTTTCAATAAGTTCAAATATCTTGATAATAATTTAATAACAATTTTATTAAATAAAGTCCCTATAGTTCTTTGAAATTTAAAGGATGTTTGTCAGGGGGAGAGAATGATAGGAGCAGAAAGCTTTGGGCCACCCAATTTCCAAGTCAAAATAAAAAACTAGCTTTGAGGTGCTTCTTTGTTTTTATAATAAATAGCAACTACTATTCTTACAAGGAAAGATATGGTTAAACCACTAATAAGCTAAATAAATAAGCAGATTTTCCTACCCTCAGAGGAGATCCCTATGACATACTACAAATGTTATTGATTCCAAAAATCTGGAGGACAGGCCAGTTCTACAATACCAAAAAGTTCTAGTTTAGTTCACTGTATAGTACAGGCCTGAGTTTTGTGAAATAAATTTAATAGTTTTGCAAAGAAACTATGTGCTATATATGCACACATGTTAATGCAGAGGTCTTACAAATTCATGATTTTACCATATCAGTTTTAATAAATACAAATTTTCTATTTCTCACACACTCTATGCCAAGACTTTAAAAACATTTTTAATAATCTCTTCAAACAGATACCTTGGACTCCAGTTTACAGAATTAACTGCAACCTCTTTCCCTCTTTTTTATTGTATATATAGAACAAAAGGCCAAAATTTCACAGTTAGGGACATCCAAGTTAATAAGGTTTCATTGCATGAAAATTTCACGACATAACAAAAAGTAGAGAGGAATGGTTCCCAAATCACATTTGTGCCAAATATTACAAAAATGCTCTTTTTATCTTAAAAGGAATGGCACTGCTGCACCCCTGTGAATATTACAAAAACCCAAGGTAAAAAGCAGTAGGTTATTTGAATTTTGTTATTTGACTGTTCCAGTGCACAAAGGAAAAGCAAAAAGTGCAAATGAAACTCTATAGACATGTATAGATCATATCTACTACGTGGGCAAGCAAGTTCTTCAGTAAAAAACATCAGGAGTCACCAAGCATTTGTAATTCTACAGAATTCACAAAATTTATCCAGGGTAGAATTTTAAGTTATGATTTTCCACAAATCTCTGGCCACAGAGCAATACTTACTTGCCAAGAACTTTAAAATGTGTTATACTATAATAAGCCTTCTGAAACAAACCAATAAAGCAACACAAAATGAAAAGAAAACAAAAAGCTCAGAATCCAGGACTCAACTCACAATAAACGTGTTTAAGTGAACATAACCCCACATAGTTTGTCATACTCTGTCTGACAGGCTGCCTCAGTACTGAACAGGAGACGTATCAAAGTTCATGGGTTATCATATTAAAGCTTTGTGATGTAACTATTTTCAGAAATACATCACTAGTCAAATCCAATTTAACTGTAAAATTCTGGGGTCTTGAAAAAAAGCAGTTAATACAAAGAGGAGAGCTACAATGCTTAAAATTTTAAATATCTATAAAGGTGAATTCTAAGAAATACCATGTGCTGTCATAATTACAAAACAACATCATACACGAAACTTGATCATTAATACTATATTGTATTTCAAAGGATATATGGAAGACTAAAAATTAGTGAAATGATGTGTAGTGCTTGAAAACAATCAAAAAAGCTATTAATGACTACTTTTCTTCCCCCAGGTTATTTTGCAGAAAAGTAATTTTAATAGCAGTTAACACTACAAAAAAACTGGTATGTGTCATGAAGCCTATAATGCAGACATCAGCTAGTCTAAATGACACAGATATTCAATGTTTGGATGCCAATGCTATTTTGTGAACCCTCATCCAAACAAGATTTAAGTGGTGTGCAAGACTAACAGAGAATTACATATCAGTTTAATAAACAAATCACAGAGCTTTATGTAAGACTGTTGAGTGTATTCCAAAAGTACTTTATTTCTATGGGATAGCATCATTTGCCTATTCTAACAAAAACAGTAAAGTTTTTCTGTGAAGTTGTAGTTTAAAATAAATTGTTGGTATAAAATACATTACAGAAGATATCAACATTTGGGCATAAAATATTAAAAGAGAAACCAGCTTTTGTGTTCACACCAGTTTAGATTAAAACTGAAACAAAGTCACCTTGAATGACCTAATTCCATCTGTAAGAAAAATTTTTAAATCAATTTTGGCATCTGTAATGCCAAGAAAACAATATATAAGAATGTGCTAAAAATAAAAATGACCCATGGAATTTGTTCCTTTCCCCAGTCCTGCCCCCTGCCCTACTCCCACCCCAATATTCTTGAGAGAGGAGCTTTTTCTACCAAATTGTAACAATTGGCTTCCAGTTGTTTGGAAAGGCTTCAACTCAACTAGACAACGCAAACTCATAAAACTGAGTATAATTGTATAATAAATACCACTGGTCTTACCTATAAACCACACACATGCAAAAACGTGTAAGAACATCAACTTACCTTAGGTTTTTAGTCTAGCTCTTGAAAGAATGATTTTCTAAGAAAATTAAAGAATTGGCTAGCAAAACAATTTCATATATTTCCACAGGAAATATATAATTTTCACAGAAAAATACATAATTCTATTCAGCTTATGCCTTTGAAAATACCTTGTATTTGGGTGAATTCATTAGAGTCTTTTATTCCTTTTTACAATAACAAAAAAATTTTTTTTGCATTGCAAATACATCAATACCCACTATATATGTAAACTATAAAATTTAGTCAAAAGAAATCTGTTAAATTAATATGGACAATTTGTCTTTGAATTCACAGGTTTTAAACAAAACAGTTTTTACAAGATTTTCTGCCTTAAGGAAAATGGCCCACTTATTTTAAGGAACAAAGACATGAATTTCATCCCAAAACTCAACCCAATGAAATGACTCAACGGATAAAATTCAATTAAACAATAACCACCTATGAGAAAATAGCTCATATTCAATATACACAATACTGTTTATTTTCCATTGGTGAGCAAATCTATTAGATGAGTAAGAATGTCATTATTAAGCAATGATGTAAAACTATTAGGTGAAGGTGTTGTAGAAAAGGGAATCAGAAGGCCAAAACATCTCTGTCTAAAGTAAACATGCAAAAACATACTACAGTTAAGTTTACATCTTGAGTAAACTGTACATAATTAAATATAAATAAAGGTATAAATTTTTGTATCTGGTAAATACACAGAATTCAACAAAATTTACATTATCAAATAGCTCAATATCCTAGAGCAGCACAACAAACAATACTAAAAATAGAATTTTCTCTAGTTCAACATAACCTAATGGTAACAATATATTGCTTAAAAGAAAGAACAAAAATCAGATTACCAAGATAATTTTCACCTTATACAAATTTTACTTGCTATTTTTAATAGTATTAATTACATGCCATGAGTTTTATTATTAGCAAGTTATTTCCAGTTGAACAAAAGCTATTTTTTACTAATATAATTATATAAGATCTAATAGATAAATACAATTAAGCAATGAAAACAATATTAACATTTTTCAAACATGCTAGCCTAAAATGACTAGCAATACTAACAATGTAGAAATTTCATGCTCTTTTACTATATCTAACAAAAGAAAATGTTATTTATCAGGCATTTCGGAATGCATATTTTTTTTAAAAAGCAAAACAAACCACTTTAATGCAGCTTAGCAGACATTCAAGTATTACTGTACTTCTCATTTACCATAAAAGAAACTGAGGAACCTAAAAGCAGTTCATTACTTTAGCATACCATATCTAGTATGCTCTTAGATAAAAAGACAGTCCATAGCCCTAATTTCTTGTGTTTCTCCACTACTCTGTTACCAAAGCATCTGGATACAACATTCTAGAAAAAATCCTAGGAATTCAAAGGAGCAATTAATGGGAGAAATTTCTTCTAGGTCTGCTTCTTTGATGAAAACTTTCCAAGATTTCATATGTTGTTCTAAAGAGTTATCCAAAAACTTCAAAAGCCGTGTGCCTCATCCTAAATGCAAAATCTTCCAGTAGGAGAATCAAGATAAAACTTAATTTCAAAGTCTCACATCATAGACTGGGGAAAAAAGGTTTCTTCTATTAATGCTAGATTATTTGTATAAATGGTTTTAGAATAATCGTTGAAAGAAAAATTCAAATGAAAGAAAGTTACCTTTTCATTCCATCTGTAAATTCAGTAACCTAGTCATTGTAGTTTTTGTTGCTATCGAGGGGCTATTTCAATAGTTTTAAAAATTTAGAAATTACAGCAGGGAAGTTTATTTTCAGAGCTCAACTTTCTTACAACAATATAGAAATCAGAACTCTAAGCCCTCAATTGCAGTGGCCGTCAGTACATAGATAGATGATCGAGATGATATGGTCTTACTTAGTTCAATTTAATCATAAAGGTATGCCACTGGCGTTCAAAACAAATGCAGCTTCATTTGTTCAGCAGAAATATTTCCAGTCGTATTAAAGGAATCCAACTTGGAGTTCATAACTATATATCACAGTGTTGAGAAAGGAGTCTTGGAGAAAAGTTTCAGTCTTCTGGAAAGCCAAAGAAGTAAAAGGTCTCATAGCCATTGTGATGAATCCAAAGATAAGTATGAAAAAGTTACTAGAGACTATCTTAACCAAGTGGAATTGCTGCTTCAGTTTCTAGCACTACGAAGTTATCAGACCTCGCCTCAAGTTTTGTCCTCACCTATTAACATTACCTTATTAGGGTTGAATTTGAGCCAGTTAGACTTCATTCCGGAGATTTCAGACAGAAAATGAGACATCTGGGGTATTGCTCCTCCTAGATTAGATGAGAAGGAAAGGTATAGCTGGGTGTTGTTTGCTAACTACCTAGCTTGACCTTAGCAGAAGATATAAAGCATTGGACTCATTATCAAAAGTTTTATTTTGTTGGCTGCTTTTTCTTATTTTTTTCTGTCCCAACTATTGGCCTTCAAATATTCACTTTAGTTTTCATAAGCAAGGTTACTCATGGAAAGGACTTCAATTTTTCCTCTAGGCATCTTCAGTATGAAATTCTTTCATTTTCAGTTCCAAGAGGCTGCAATGGCAAGGCAGATGATTTGCATGTGACAGCATGCAGCTCAGAGCATGAACTTATGCAAAAGAAAAAATTTGATATCGTTTGGAGTCGATGTTGCAGACTTGAAGAAGAGGAATGCATTGATTCAGTGTTGGAAGTACATACACATGGCCTTTTGCCATGGCTATCTGTATTCAAATTCATTTTGGTATTTGTTAGTAAGCCAAAAGCCAAGCCCAAGTCAACACACGTATTTTAGGTTCACTCTTCAAAGTTAAAAAAAAGAGAGAGATACTCAATTTTCATACTAAACTTCTGATATCTGAAAATTCACTGCTTCATGTTATTCTCGGTTAAAACAATTTTTCCCTATGCAATGGTTTTATAAATAATAAATAAAATATATATAAATGATAATCCCTAGAAATAAAAGGGTGAATACTGACTGCTAAATAAATTGTGTGAATTAAATTTCCAATATGGATTTTTTTTTCTATACCAGGCATAGCACCAACATATCATGGACTATGTCATAATTTTCGCAATCTTCACAATCCAGAGTTGCTTAACAGATAGCTCCTCACCTAATTTTAATAGCAAGATTAGTCAGATCTTCTAACTCATCTCTTACATTTTTTTAACAAACTTCAAGAATTCCTAAAACAGAATTACAAGGTGAGGTCTAAGACCCAATGAATTCTGATAAATTCTGTTCCTCTAAAATAAGGTTGTGTCCTCAAAGGCATGCATCAGCAATGTTAGTCTCATGGACCAACATAAATTGTTTGTTTCAAAAGAACACAAGTCCTATCAACACAGTCATCCAAAAAATGCAAGAACAGGGCCGGCCGAGTGGCACGTTGGTTAAGAGCGGGCTTGGGATGCCAGAGGGCCCCGGTTCGGATCCCACATATGAGGGCCAGTGACACTGCCCTCTACAGCTAAGATGCTGAACAACAACTCAACACCCTGGAGCTGGGCTGCCGTGAGTCGTCGGCGTAGGCTGCAGTCCCTGTGGCAGTGGGTTTCCATGGGCTACCATGTATAGCCAGCAGCCAGCATGAGCAGCCAGCAGCCGCCGTGAGCGGCCGTCCAGAAGCCGGCGACTGATCTGCCTTGCCCGGGAAGAGCGCAATGATGGTGCCAACTTGGGCCAGTGAAGCAACGTCCTCCACAGATAGACTGAAGAACAAAAGGACATCAACTTGTCTGTTCCCCTTCCCCCAATTCCCCAGTGCTGTTCCCATCCCCTAATTCCCCAATAAAAAGCTTAAAAAAAAAAAATTTTTTTTTAAATGCAAGAACGGCTTTCCAGTTCCAAAATTTCCTGCTTTTGGGTAACTTCTACCAATTCAAGTGGTAAGCACAAACCTATTTTATCAATGTTAATTAGAAATCGTATAGGGATTTTACCCTTGTAAGTAGTTGTTTAATAATTCTCATAATCTGCTTCATTTACATAAATGAAAAAAATGATTCCATGCAAACATTACTAGTCAAATTTCCCAACAGTTATTAGAAGCGGTCATTCCATAAACAATGTTTACCTAGCTGTTGTTGGATGCTGCTTAACACAATACACTTGATATAATCTGCATTTTAAAACTAAAACACATACAAATTAAACAGAAGGCTACAGTATCAGAGCAATAGCTGATATATACATGCTGCAAAATCTGATAAATTAATCCATTCTTATCTAAGAGCATTATACTTTTATTGTTAAATCGCAAAGATTAAGAGAGAAAATTTTTTAATGAACATATTCGTACCTTCACTGATCTGGTTCTCTGTTAAAATCACACTTCCTGAAGGCAAGGGACCAACTGAACTTGAGCCTTCCACAGTCTGCCTCTTCTCAAAACTAAACTCTGGAAGTCTTGGAGCCTGTGGTCTGGTTTTTCTTGCAGGATTCAAGAAAAAACAGTAGGCACATCGAAAAGCTGCAGAGAAATTTTTAAAAATAAACAAAATCAAAGAAAACTCAAGGATTAATCAGATAACTCTCAAGATTACTTCTGCAAATAATCAAAGGACCCTTCAAAAGTTATTTATCCCTTATGAAATTACATATGGTTTCAGTAATATTATGGCAGTGTTCTAACCAAAGCTAATTTTAAGGCAGACTTTCTAATAATTATTAGAATATTAATTTTAAAGAAGAAAAAATAAGTTACATAGCATATTAACTAATATCAAAACAATATTAATGATCTATATGTATTAAAGAATTACATTTCTAGTTACCAGGATTTTTAAATCCAGAACCTTGCTCATTTGCCCAAGAAAATGTAGTTATGTCATACTTGAGAAGCATAATTAATTTAGCATAATATTTTTTAATAGTGGCTACACATGAGAATCATCTGAAGAGCTTTAAAAAGTGCTGCTGCCTAGACCCCCACCCCTGGACATCATAACTTTTAAAAGCTCTTCAGGTGATTCTGATGCACAGTGAAGTCTAAGAACAGCTGGCCTAGAGGTTGGACACTATGGGGAAAATCTGAGTTGTCTTTCTTGTTTTGGTCTGTGTTCTAAAACAAGAAGAATATGCCTGAACAATATATACAGACAGAACCTAAAATAAAATGACATTACATGGGAATTGGCACAGAAATATTTGAGAGTAACTATCCAATAATTCTTACCAATGTATTCAAATTCTTCTTTCAAAGCCATGCCATTATGAGAAAAACACTGCTGACATATAAGGGCATACCTACCCCAAAAGGAAAAACAGGTTAGTTACAAATGCAAACAAAGCCCATGGGAGAGGCTACGTTAGCTAACACAGCTAATTTATATTTTAACAAAGCTAAATATGTCATAACAGAATAGATGTTACTTAGTAAACAAAAAACACTATTCTTTAAACATAACAACAGCCAAAATTTCAATCATTTTAAAATGTAATTTATACATCAAATTAAAAGTAAACTAAGAAACAGTCAAATGAATTCTTACTAGGTTAGCAGAAACATATTTGTTACTGAACACTTAAATTTCAGTGTTTCCTAAAGTACATTCCTGGGAATGACAGACCCTAAATCTGTGGTCAGATAAGATCAGAAAAAAAATGGACTCTTAGAGATTCACAATGAGAAATCTTGCAGTAAAGAAATAAATTTAATTTTCTTGAATTCAGTCCAAACGTTAATTTCTGTACATCACAATTCCTGTATCTCTCCCAGTTACACTTACACATCCTCCTCGTTTTCTATTTATATATTCTGCTCTGTGTATGTACTTAACAAATACTTGGCTCTATCAAACAACATTGTTTTGAATAACATGAAATTTATTATATTAACTAAAATTCTAGCCTCTTTATTAAAGTGATAATATTAACCAATAACTTTGTCAAATATTTACTCTACTATCCTAAGAATTTTTTATAAGTCTATACTATGATAATTGCTCTGCTCACATCATTTCTATCTCCCCAGAATTATTGTAAGGATCAAATAAGACAATAATTAGAAAAGCATTTTGAGAACTATAAGTGCTAAATGTAAATTGTCTTCACTGCCATTAAAATTATCATCATCACCAAGGTCCAGTACATCTATACAACTCCATTTCTTGAAACCTGCCAAGTTTTCACTATTTATGTGCTCCTTAAGTTTACGAGTTGCAATGAAATGAATCCATTTCTCTAAAAATAACCTAAGAGTAGGGTTAAAATATAGTAGGGTTACAATATAGTAGGGTTACAATATTGTTTGTTATATTTTTTCTAAATACTTGATCCAAACGCCTACTGAAAAACAATGGAAGGTATACTCTTTTGTAGGGCTATAAAATATTCCATTATGTCTAAAATAAGGAAACAGGAGCCACAAAACTAAAGAACATCTAGCACATGTGCACACAACACATACACACTATGACCAACAAACTTTTTCTCTATTTTCATTTTCTACCAATCTAGTAAACGTTACCTGTTTTGTGGACCATCACCAACTAAATATTCAACAATTCTATCTAGAGCACCTCGTTCTCGGGGGAGAATGGGTCTTGCTAAAGGTGGACCGGGAGGATGAAGACCTAGTAAATAAATAAACACATATGACAAAAATGATAAATATAAAATAATAAACAAAACAAAAATACTATTCTTACAAATCTCTGTAGAGCATTTAAATTTTCATTAAAAATACTGCACTATAAAAATATGTTTAAATATATGCTATTTCATTTAATAGATTATACCAACATAATCTATTAAGAAATGAAACTATGTTGGGTTGTACACAAACTAATTTGAAAAATGCCCAGAATCTTAAAAGCTTATGTAATAATAAACTAGGGACTTCCACTTTGGACCATAGAGTCACAGGGGTCAGTCATATTTACCTTCCACCTTAAACAACTAAAATACTGTGCAAAAGACATTGGGTATCAGACAATGTAAGATAAAGATCTCTGACAGACAAAAATCAAATAAGATAAGCCCTACAATTGCCCCAGTTTGTTGTCTGGAGAGAGTTTCCAGGCAGCAGCTTAGGGAGGCTAAAACCAGGTGAAGTGAATCAGTATTCCTGAGATGACGAAATACAGCTGGACCAGGGAAGCCAAAGCAGCTTGAGTTCACAGGAAAGAGTATGAGAGAATGCACAGGGCAAGAGCACCAAAGATCTGCAGAGGATCCCCAAGACTATCCAGCAGAGTACTGGTTGGTGCATGCATGTAAGGAGACTACCTGAAGACAGAGAAAGAACTGCCCCAAATATTAAAGGTAACAGTGCTCACATGAGGCCAAAATGTTGCATGTTTCCACCAACCAGAGTGGAAAACTTCATAATTCACAGGTCACTGGGTAAGTATTCATAGGAATTTTGTACAGGAATATAAAAATATCCAGCATCCAATAAGGCATGATTCACTTCTGGCATCAGATCAAAAATTATTAAGACATCCAAATAAGTAGGAAAATATGACCCATAATGAGAAAAATCAATCATAAGTGACCCAGCAAATAACAGAGATAGAATTAGTAGACAAATATATTAAAACATTTATGACTATATTCCACATGATTGAGAGCCTAGAGGAAAGATTCAATGTTAAGTAAATACATAGAAAAAATTTTAAAGACCCTAACTGAATAGATGAAAACTACAACATCTAGGATGAAAAATCTGCAGATGGGATGAATAGCAAGCACTTTAAACATTACAGAAAAAATATTAGTGAACGAAGATATAGCAATAGAAACCACAAAAATGAAACACAGAGAAGTGACTAAATATATTTTTAAATTAAAAAAACATCAGTGGGCTGTGGAGCAACCTCAAGCAGTCTAACATACATATAGTTGGAGTCCAGAAGAAGAGGAGGGAGAAGGAAAAGAAAATATTTGAAGAAATAATGCACAAAAATTTTTCCAAATTTGATAAAAGTTATAAACCCACAGATCTAAAAACATCAACAAAACTTAAGCACAAGAAACATAATTTGCAACAAGACAAGCATATTCAAATTGCTTAAAACTAGTAATAAAGAGAAAATCTTAAAGCAGTCAGAAAAAGATACATTACGTACAGAGGAGATAAGAATGACTACAGATCTCTCATCAGAAAATAAGCAAGCCAGAACACAATGAAACAATACATGTGAAGTTCTGAAAGAAAAACTATCAAATTAGAATTCCATATTAATGAAAACATCTTTTAAAAATAAAGGCAAAAATGAAAATTTTTTCAGACCTACAAAACTGAAAGAATTCATCACTAGTAGAACTGCACTGTAATAAATGTTAAAAGTTCTTCAAGCAGAAGGAAAATGATACCAGATGAGAAGCTGGATCTACACAAAGGAAAGAGGAGTACCAGAAAGGTTACTATGTGGGTAAATATACAAAATTTTTATTATTTAAATCTTTTTAAAGATAATTGGTGGCTTGAAGGAAAAATAATAATTTGTTGTGGGGTTTATAACAACATAGAAGCAAAATGTATGACAACAATGGCACAAAAGCCAGGAGGAGAGAAACGGAAGTGTACTGTTGTTAGATTCTTAAACTATGTGTGAACTGGTATCACTTGCAGATAAACTGTGATAAATTAAAGATCTATACTGTAAATCCCAAAGCACTCACTAAAATCACACAAAAAAGTAATACAGCTACTAAGTCAACAAAAAAGATAAAAATGGAATCATAAAAGATACTCAATATAAAAGGCAGAACATGAGAAGAAAAGTAACAGAACAGATGGGACAAACAGAAAAATAAAACAGTACAATAGAAGATTCTAACTCAAATCTAAACAGATCAATCAATACATTAAATGTATGTGGCCTAAACATCCTCATTATGAGGAAAAGATTGTCAGAATGAATAAAAAAGCAAGATCCAACATAACACTGCTTACAAAAAAAATTTTAAATATAAAGACCAAATAGATTAAAAGTAAATGATAGAAAATATATATAAATATGCTAATTAGTACTAATCAAAACAAATCTGTAGTAGCTGATTAACATCAAGCAGAGTAGATTTTAGAGCAAAGAATATCCTCAGAGATAAAAAGTAATTTCGTAATGACAAAGGAGTTAATTCATCAAAAGGGCATAACAATCCTAAACTGTATGTACATCATAACAAGAGCTTTAAAACACATGAAGCAAAAACTAGTAGAACCACAAGAAGAAACACAAATAACTCAATTAAAGTCGGGGATTTCAACAGCCTTCTCTCAATAGTAGACAGAATAAACAGACAGCAAATCAGTAATGATATAGGGTTGATACAGAACACTACTACTACCAAGTTGACTTAATTGACATTTGTAACCACTCTACCCAACAGGAACAGCATACCGTCATGAATTGCTTAACGATGGGGATACATGCTGGAAAACGTGTCATCAGGAAATTTCATCATTGTACGAATATCATAGAGTGTACTTACACAAACCTAGATGGCATAGCCTACTACACACCTAGGCTGTACAGCACAACCTATTATTCCTAGGCTACAAACCTGTACAGCACATTACTATACTGAATACTTGAGGTAATTATAACACAATGGTAGTATTTGTGTCCCTAAACATATCTAAACTATATAGGAAACTATAGTAAAAATATCATATAAAAGATAAAAAATGGTACACCTGTATAGGGTACTTACCATGAATGGAGCTTGCTGGACTGGAAGTTACTCTGAGTTAGTGAGTGAGTGAGTGAGTGGTAAGTGAATGTGAAGGCCTAGGACATTACTGTACACTTTTGTAGACTTTATAAACTGTCCCACAAGCCCTCCACCTGCTTCCTTCCAACGGGGTCAGAAATAGACCACCAAAGCCATCAATGTCACTCCATGAATAGAAATGTGGACTAGACTGATTGGAAATATCAAGGACAAATTGGCTAGGTAAGGCAGAGATCACCATATTGTAGGGACTCTCAGGAGAGAGTGAAAGACAGTCTGGGAATCAGTAGGAATAAGAAATCAAGATGATGAGATAAAAAAATTTATGGATTGTCATGGCAATGTAGTTCTGGCTATTGCATGTTGGAGCAGTGGTCAGATTAAAGAACTTTGTGGTATTCATTAAAACAAAAAAAGAGAATATTTAACATGGAGAGGGTATAGACTTGAAGACTCAATATGTTTACTTTGGAAAAATTTTTTTGGTTCCATTGACCCTATTTGGCACAAAGGGCTCTCTCTGGCATTGAATTAATGGAAGAAAGAAAACTTATCTATGCTTTACATCATTACAAACCTAAAAATATTTCCAAAGTTCAGGGACAGGCTAGCTCCACACTATCACAGAAAGCTTTTACTAAAATGGCAGCGGCACTTAATTCTTGTTAAGAGAGTGCCTGTGGACCTGTGTCCTTGTACAGGGTCTTAGGTCCCCAATAAAGAATTTACAGCAATGTACTCAGAAGACCATTAAGCTAGATCTGGGAGGGCTTGTAGTGCCCTCCGAATGTGTACTGCTGGAGGACAGGCTCCTCTGTGCTGAGACAGGTCAGTGGCTGACTGATTGGGATGGAATCTGTGCTCTTAAAACTTAGGTCCTGTGAGTGCAAGGACCTACTGAATCTACTGCCAAGCCCCACAGATACTGCTCCCGTTAAAGAAAAATAAATTCCTCCTGAACCTCCATTTCTTACAGCAAATTCATCTCTATTATAATCTTATAGGACCACCATCATATATGCAACCCATTGTTGACAGATACATCATTATGTGGCACACAATTATATATATTCTTTTTCAAGCGAACAAAAAACATTTATCAAAACAGATGATATTCTGAGAAATAAAACAAGTCTCAATACATTTTACAAGATTCAAATAATACAAAGTACGTTTTCTGGCCACATTAGAATTAAATTAAAAATCAGCAACAGAAAGACATCAGAAAATTCTCCAAATATTTGGAGACTAAATCATATGTATCTAAAAAATCTAGAGTTCAAAGAAAAATTAAAAAAGAAATTAGACAGTATTTTTAAATGAGTAAAATTTTTAAAAACATCAAATTTATGATATGCAGCTAAAGCAGCACTTAGATGAAAATTCTCAACACCTAGAAAAGAAGGTAGATGAAAATTCTCAACACCTAGAAAAGAAGGTATGTCTAAAATCCATGAATTTGGCTTCCACCTTAAGAAACTAAAAGCAAAGAGTAAATTAAACCCAAGGTATAAAAAATAAAAGAAATATTAAAAATAAATAATAATAATAAAAATAAAAAATGAGAGAACTAATAAAATGAAAAACACAAAAATAATATTTAAAAAGCTGGTTCTTTGTGAAGATCAATAAAATTGGTAAACCTCTAGCCAGACTTATCAGAAAAAGAAAGAGGGAAGGTACAAAATACTAATATCAAGAATGAAAGAAATGGCATAAATCCAGATTGCAAAGATATTAAAAAGATAGCAAGGGTATATTAGAACTTTATGCCAAATAATTCTATAAGTTAGGTGAAATAGGCAAATTCCTTGAAAGACTACAAAACGACCACAGCTCACTTAACAAGAAATACATAACCATTTAATATGCTAAAATTTTAAGAATTTTTCCATCTGTGTTCATGAGGGATATTAGTCTATCATTTCTCTTTTACAATTTTTAGTTTTAAAAAAAATCTCTTCTACAAATAAAACACCAGGTCAAAATGTTTCAACTATAATTTCTACCTAATATTCAAGAAAGAAATATCAATTCTACACAAACATTGTCTATAAAATTGAAGATAAGGGACTACTCATATCATTGTATAAGGCCAGCATTACACTGATACCAAAACCAAACAAAGACATTACCAAAAAAAATGTAGATATATATACTACAGACGACTATCCCTCAGGAACAGGAAAATTGATGTATATATTTTTACAAAGTTTAGCAAATTGAACCCAACAATATTTATAAAAAATAAAACATCATGACAAAGTAAGATTTACCCCAGGAAAGCAAGGTGGTTTAACATTTAAAAATCAATCAATGGGGCCGTCCGGGTGGCTCAGTTGTTTAACAGCTCGCTTGGAAGCACCAGCTCTGAGCAACAGGACCGCAGTTCGGATCCCACATTGAGGGCCAGTGACACTGCGCCCTCTACAGCTAAGATTATGAACAACAGCTCGACCTGGAGCTGGGCTACTGTGAGTCACTGGCAACAGCTGTAGGCTGCAGCGGGGCTGCAGTGGGCTGCCATGAGCTATGTGAGTGGCTGGCAGCCAGCATGAGTGGCTGGCAGCGGGCTAGAGCTGGCTAGAGCTGCCGAGAGCTGCCGAGAGCTGCCAAGAGCGGCTGACCAATAACCAGTGACCGAATGCCTCACCTGGGAAGAACACAATGATCATACCTACATGGGCAGTGAAGTAATGTCCTCCACAACTAGACTGAAGAGTCCTCCACAACTAGACTGAAGGACAAAAACACAGCAATTTGTCTACCTGTCTGTTCCCCTCCCCCAATTCCCCAATAAAATCTTTAAAAAATATAAAAATAAAAATAAACGTATTTCACTATACGAACAGATGTTAAAACAAAAAAATAAACTAAAACCCCATGAGCATCTCAATAGATGCAGAAAAAGCATTTGACAAAATCCATCAGCTCACTAGGAATAAAAGGGTACTACTTCTCCAATCTGAAAAAACTATCTATACTTAAAACAAACAAACAAACCTACAGCTAACATCATGATGAATGGTGAAAAAGTAATTGCTTTTCTCAGATCAGCAATACGGCAAGGACATCTGCTCTCACGACTTCTCTTCAACATTGTACTAAAGGTTCTAGCTAGTGTAATAAGGCAAGAAAAAGAAATAAAAGGAATCAAGATTAAAAAGGAAGAAGTAGAACTGTCTTTATTCACAGACAATATAATAGACTATGTAGAAAATACTATGAAATCTATAAAAAAATCTATTAGGACTAATAAGTGAATTTAGCAAGATTATAGGCTATAAGATCAATATAAAAAATCAACTGCACTTCTATTGATATTAACAATGAACAATTGGAAATAGTTTTTAAAATACCATTTACAATTTTGTCAGAAATATAAAATTAGATGTACATTTGACAAAAACATGTGAAAACTATGAAACACTGCTGAGACAAACTTAAGATCTAAATAAATGGAGAGATATACTGAATTCCTGTAATAAATTAGGCAATATCAGAAGAGAGGAATAAAGGACAATTATTGTATTGTTCTGTACACCTGAAACTAACAATAAAAAACAAAATAGATTTGCATATTCTGGATATTAAATATAAATGGGGAAAAAAAAAGAAGAGAGGAATAAAGAGTGTGGGGTAGAAGAATAACCCAGATGATTTACATTATATAACCTTAATGATTTACATCATATTAAAACAGTAACAACAAGAATAAAGAGCTACACATTCAAACTTTACAATCTGTAACTCCACAATCTCTGAAACGTTAAAGAGAACTGTTTGTAGGAGCTAACTCTGAAATGAGACCCAACACAGAAGAAGGCACTGAGAAGAAAGTGGGAGAATAAAGTGAGATGTGAAGCTTGCCTTTGTAAAACAAGGCAGGATGTACGTTAGAATAAGATGGGCTACAATGGAGGTTTACATGGAGGCCTCATAGAAGACTTTGAAACAAAATGAGGCCTTGTTGGAACAAGTCTTGCAAAATACAAAGATACAAAGTTTTCAGTAAGACTGTAACAAAAAGTTTAAAGCATTCAAGAATGGCTTTAGGGTAGAAATATTATATAAATAATTTAAAGAATAAGAGAAGATCTGCTTTGTAAATAATCACAAACCTAAAGGCTGTTACCATCTTAAAAAAAAGGTCAAATGATGTCAAAATTGTAGCTATTAGTAAATAAAATTTAAGTTCTAGAATAAGCTCTGAGCATTACAAACCAGCTACATTTTTCAGATTTTGTAAGTTATTTGTTTACTTGTACTAACAACATTCAATCATTACCATCAAAAGATAAACTTTAATGCAGACATTGTCAACCCTCATCAAATTTTCAACTTGAAAAAGCATGCCAAATTATATTTTGAAAGCATTTAAGTGAAGTTAACTTATGCTGGAATATTTTACTTCTACACTTTTAAAATGAAAATGTCCATAAAGGAATCTGGATACATAAAACAACAGATTTCACAAAACTATCTTAAACCCCTTACATACTCAATAACTTTTAAATAATGCATCTTTGTATTCATACTGTTAAGGATAACAGTAATTAATACAAACATCAAGAGCAATCATTGTAGGAATACTGGTCATTTTTACACAGCTTGGCAAATTATCAAGTACCTGCTGGTTATTAATTTTCAAACATATGGGAGCCCTGTGGTAATACACATTAAATTAATTCTCTTCCACAAATATGGCATAATGAAAAAATGAATTATTAATCTTCTCTATAAGAAATCACTTAACTCATTCATATTTTTGGCAATGTAAAACTTAATTCACAGTCTTTTACAGAGAGAAACTAATTAAAAACTTTAGTAAAATATGTTATATTTACATGATCACAAAATTTAGGCCATTATTCCTTCTATAACCCTATTCTTACATATGTAGTAATACAGTTTTTATTATTTTATATCACTTGCTAAACTTCTGTTTCTTTAAAGCTAGATACACAAACGTATATAATATACACATTCTCACAAAAACAATTTATTTCATTAAACAACAAATAATTTTATAAATCATGGGTATCGCAAATCAGTCAGTTAACAACTGAAAGATGAATAATTTTCAATTAATTTTTCTCAATGTCACAAAACCTTAAGAGACATCATTATATGTAAAATTTTAAAGTTTTTTTAAAAACTATTTTTAAAATTATGATTTGTATACATTTCATTTATACCCAGATTTCTTAATTTGTTTATAAATTGTTTTCTTGTTTCCTAAAATCTTATGCTGTTGTTTTTGAAGGAAGAGCAGGAAAAAATCTACTGTAATAGTAACATTTAGATTATTTATTGATTTTATTACCTACGCGTAAGTATCCTGAATACCTGATATTAACTACTGACTAGCCTCAAAAACATTATAAATTATGTTAATAATTAGTCATAAAATACCGAAGTAATCTAAATTAGAATTAAACACTCTAAAAGAAAATAATTTACTACCATATTCAAGAATGACATGAGAATCTACATAAAATAATGTAATCTGCTAAAGCAGTGGACTTCTAAGTCCCAATCACACCCCAAAAGAAAGTTACAGGGTAATATAATCTATTATGCTCTAAAAACGCAATCTTCTCCTAGTGATCTACCACACTAAAAAAAGAAAATCCAAAGACATAAAATAGAGTAAAGGCAGTATGTTAATTTAATAGGACTTTATGCTTTAAAGTAATGCCAGTAAATACTAATTTTCTTTGGGTTAAATAAAGAACAATTTACCAGCCCATATTAACCATTGTAGTATTGTACACCACAATGAAGGAATAGTCTTCCTGAAATATCTTAAGTAATTGTCATGTTTAAAAATATATATGAAGGGTTTAGCAAAAAGCATGAATATATTCCAAAAGTGTTCTCTTCTATCCCATTTTATATAAATCTGGAGACACTCTCAAGCTGAATATAAAAAGATATGCTATACTGTTGACTACAGAATACTACAAAGTTTTATTGCCATTTAAACAAAGAAGCCATAACAGTTAAATGAGCTCAAGAAATAGGTTTCAGTATCACAAGGTGCCAGCTGTAAAGAGTTATGGCTAATTGAATATGGAACTCCTGCTTAATCAGATAACTGCTTTGCAATTTCCAAATGAAATGCCATTTCCATACGGTCTGAAAATGGCCCGTTTTATTGGTAACCAGAGAAAACAATATAAACTGTAAATAACATTAAGTGCGCTGTTTACCCATTCCAGGCACTGAAGTAGCAGGGGATCCGAGACGTCTTGGTAACACATTTGATGATAGGGCTGGAGTAACATTTCTTTCTGGGGGTCCACCAGGGGCTGAAGTGTCCTTTGGTGTTCCAGGAGATGCTGGAACTTGTGGGAGAGAACCCTTGCTAGGGCTTGCTGGTGCTGGAGAAAGGTTTCTTTGAGCTGCAGTTCGCTGACGAATCTCTGACAATAAGAATAAAAATATTATATTAAATATCCAATATACCATATGAGCCAATACCGTAAGTATTACTTACATTTAATAGTTTCGTGCCACCAGAAGGCATCTATAGGGCCAAAATTGCTTGGAATAAGAAATCTATAAAATGTAACATTGAAAACTGACTATAATACAGTTCTCCAGTTCTGATCCCACAAGTCAACTGCACATAGGTATTTACACAACAAGCCTTGATCTCAGTCTATCTATTGTACTGATATCGCTCTTCAGAATAAATTCAAATGAAATCAAATCATCACCCAATTGTGTATCATGTCTTTTACAGTAATCCTTCCTAATTTATGATAAAGAATGCTTATCAGAATTAGTGAAAATTACAGATGTTTTTGAAGATAAAATTAATAACTCTAAGAAATGAGTGAATAAGTATATTCTGAGATTATCAAATAATTTATGAGGTAATTAATCTACGTAGTTACAGAAATCCTAAAAAAGTATTCTTTAGTATTTGGTACCATGCCCATTCTCCTTTATACTATTGTTATTTTTTTAGTAAAAGTTTTTTGGCAATACATTCAATAAAGGAAAACTTGCACTAGGCATAAATAATGTATCACCATAAGTAAATCTTGAGTGGCAGGAATGACTTTCTGTAACAGAGGTTGGCAAACGTGCCAAATCCAGGCTACCGTCTCTTTTTGTAGTTTTATTGAAACACAATAACGCTCTTTTGTTTATACATTGTCTATGGCTGCTTTAAAAGAGTTGAGTAGTTGCAACAGAGACCATATGGCTCTCAAAGCCATTTATTATATTTACTATCTGGCCCTTTACAGAAAGTTTCATGATCTCCTAACTCAGTAACATAAAATGCAATTCTAACATTCCTGATTCCCACTAATACCTTACTTGAATGTTGATGGTAAGACCTCAAGAAGCTCTTACAGCTTTTTAATTCTACACATCACATTAAATTATCACAAATCTTGAAATAGTAGGCTGAAACTAAATAAGTTAAATTTTAATAGGCATGATTGGTAAAAATGCATACTTCCAAAAGCAAAATACTTCAGATTTGGACTCTATTTGACAGTTAAAGATTTTTTTGACAAGTTCATTGCAACCAAAAGCGCAGCTTTAGCATCAGATTTCAGTTTACCACAATCAAGTCTACTAGTTAGGAACCTGGGCCATGCAGTCAGAAAGGGGTGGTTAGAATCCTGATTGTTGCTACAAGTCCTCAAATGGGTTAACTTCACTAAGCCTGTTTCTTTCTCTGTAAAATTAGGATAATAATATTCTTAACTCATAGAATTGCCATGAGGGTTAAATAAGATAATATCCATGAATTGATAGCTCACATTTATTGAATACCTAATATCTCAGATGACAGTGTTTTCACACCACTGAGTATTTTCAAATGACCAGTTAGTTATAATTATTGGGACTAACTTTCCACTGATTCTTCACATAGCCTCTAATCTAACCACTGCAATAATAAGTTACAAGCATGTCATCATTATATAAGTGGAACTGTCTTTATTTGGCTATTTTCCATGCAGTTTATATAGAAAATTTCTGATTTTATCTGGACTAATTGCATCCTAACATCTCCTACAAATTAACTGGTCACTTAATGATCACAAGGAACACCTTAAAAGGTAGTTCGTTACACATTAAGAAAACCATTAAATGCTTCAAAAGGTACTGAGATCAATGAAATCATGTTAAGTTTGGGTCATTTAAATTAATTTAAAAAAACAAGGCATCAGGTACTGTAAATCACTTTTTGCCTATTTTCAGGTAAAACATAACTCAAAAAATGACATTTTCTTCCAGATAAATAAAAGTTATTTTTACATAAATGAGTAACATAGTTGTTTATTATAGATAAATAAAAGTTTAACCTTTATTAGACTATAAAAAGTAGCTATTATCCTTTTATTTCTTGAACAAAGCCTTGAGACTGCTGCTTCTGAATGTGCATTTACTCTGTGAAAATTAGCTAAAGCACACTTTCAACATTCTTCATGTGCTACTGAAAGGTGGGGTCTATAACTAACTAATAAGCAAGGAAGACCATGTCTGGCATTCCATAAAAGAAACGTGGCTTAATGATGTCTAAATTTAAATTTAGGCAGACAGAGGGGGGAAATAGAAGAGTCAGGAAAGGGAAAAAAACAGTTTCATCGTTTTCAAAGGAAAAGTAAGTAACAAAGAGTTACAATATCAATAGTTAAAAATAGCTAATGATACAATCCAAATCTATATTTGCTAGTGTTATGAAATGTAAGTATTCTGGTAGTCTCAATTTAAAATATCTAAGATTTCTCAGCTTTAAGTTACTTCCCATTCACAAATGCCTTGTACTATAATTACTCCAAAAAGTTTCTAGTACTCAACAAAGTAGTGATATTGGTTCAATTCAACATTTCCTACACTTAAATATAAAAAGGTATTCCCCAAAAAGGTTTACCAAGCATTCCACATCTATCTGGTAAAGTATTATAAGGAATGTTCCATAAGATCAATTCTTGATCTGAGGATGTTTTACCATACTTATCAATGATCAGTCAATGATTTGATAAGAATCACTCTCACTGAATATGAGAACATGTCTATATTTTCAAACTCAAAATGAAGTAAATAAAACCAAAGATTAAAACTATAATACCATGATAAACAAAAGGAAAAAAAGTTTAAAATAATGATAAAACAGGATGGTTGAAGTGTCTTGATTTAAATTTTAGCTCCACCCTGTTTATTAGATGTGCATATAGCCTTTTCCAAGTTAATAACATCTCTAAGCTCAGGTTCCTTATAATGTGAATATTTACCTCTTATGATAATATTAAATGAGACTATCACTGCAAAGAGCTTAGCCAGAACACAGGAAAAGTACTTAATAGGCAATAACCAGCATTAGTAGTATACACCTAAAGGTTCCAGAGATTATAATAAACCAAAAACCAAACAGGCCGGCCGAGTGTCTCAGTTGGCTAAGAGTGAGAGCTCTGAGCAACAGGGTCGCTGGTTCGATTCCCACATTGGGCCAGTGAGCTGCGCCTGAGCTGAGCTGCCAACAGGTGGCAAGATGGCTCAGCTGGTGTGAGCACATGTTCCTAACAACAAGGCTGCCAGTTCAACTCCCCCATGAGATGGTGGGCTGCACGCCCCGCCCCCCCTCCCCCCCAACTAAGATTGAACACGGCACCTTGAGCTGAGCGGCCACGAGCTGCCAACGGGTGGCCAGATGGCAACTGGACTTGGATCTGAGCTAGCTGAGCCCTCCTCAACTAAGATTGAAGGATAAGAACTTGGCTGTTCCCCTTCTCCAATTCCCCAATAAAATCTTTTTTAAAAAAAACCTAAAAACCAAGCAACCTAGAATTTCTAAATCAATTAAAATAAAAGATATGAATTTACAAGTTAAATGTTTTCCTAAAGTTATTTGTAAACTTGTTTAAATGTGTAACTTCACAATTTATATAAAAACTTAAATCTATAACTTTAGCTTGCTATTAAATAATTATTGAGGTGAATAGGCTATAATACAAATAATTATCTCTTAATTTATCAGATTTTAAATACTGTTTCTTTACATACTGGTGGAAGGTTTTGTCTTTGTTTTGGCAGTAAGCTGTAGTAGGAAGAATACCATACAATAGTTAGGAGACCTGGATTTTCATCCTAGCTGATACCACCTGTTCTTATGAAAACTAAAAAGTCTTTTATTCACTCTGGGTTTCAGATTTCTTTAAAGGGTGTTGGCAGAACTACAAACACAATCCTCATATTTTCCTAACACTGGTCAAAGACTTTCAGAACTATTGTGTCCAGTTCTAAGCTTCCTAAGAAAAACTTTCAATAAATTTTAGTAATGAGAAAAAAAAAAAACATCTTTAAGCCTATGAATGACTCACATATGCAGATATGGAAACTTAAATTTAGGGTGAATTTGGCTCTTTAGAAGTGTGATTATGAGATGTAGTTAGGTGGGATATGAGGATATATCTTCAAGAGATTTTCCATTTTTCAATTTATATATATTCAGGTCTCTACTGTTTAAATTTATATAATTCCTTTAAATAACCAAAATAATAAAGATCACGCATCTGACATCTCTTACTTTTAAATATTCTAAACTCTACATTCAGTATAACATCTTCACATCCTCCTCACACTAACCACTTTTAAATACAGCTTCTGCCATACTTCTCTACTGAAACTGTTTTCTCAATAAATGGGGGCTTTTTATTAACAGAAATGACTCCATAACATAGAGGTAAAGGTTTTGAAAAAAGAAAAACCTCCCCAACATTTCACTCCTCAGCACAACACAATCTGGTTTTTGTCCTCCTTCTTAGCTACCCCAGTATCACCCACCACTGAAAGTCCCACTGCTTTGGTTACATCACCATTATTGTTATTAGCTTAGTTGCTCTTTGTCTGCTAGGAACTATACTAGGCACTTTATGTGAGTTTACTAATTTCATCAATATTTAGACCAACTCTTTGAGATAACTCCTATCCCGTTTTCAAAAGGAGAATCCAAAGCTCAGAAGCTAAGTAACTTGCCAAAAGTCTCACAGTAAAATAAGATGGAGCCAGGATTCAAATCCTGGTTTTTATGACACCACCACCCCCTCACTCTGCTACACAACCTGTCAGATGCAATGATTTCATCTGTCTTCTATTTACTTGACCCTTTGCAGACCATGGCAGTGGATGCCATCTCTACTACACTTCAACTTTTTTAGGTGCCAGTTTAATTCTGTTGTTAATGCTGATCATCCCTTCTGTCATTTTCCTGGGTTCTTCTTTCTCCATCCAACCTTACAAGTTAACGTTCCCCAGGGTTTTGTCATCTTACCCTATTTTCTCTCCCTGGGTAATTACACTCAATTCCATAGTTTCAGTAACTGTCACCCATACTTCCCAATGATTCCTAATCTGTATCTATAATCTCAACCTTTTTCCTGACCTCCATATAAGACACACCATCTAGATGTAATTCCTACTCAGCAGTTCCAAAAGCAAATTATCTTCCACAACTACTCCAA